GGAAACAAGAATGCCCTGCAGATCATGGTACCTGGCTGATATTTTCTAGGTTTGGAAGCAAAGCAGGATCAGGACTACAGAGTACAGTGGTACCTCTAGTTACGAACACCCCTCCTTACGAATTTTTCGAGATACGACCAGCTCCGGCCCCAAAAACGTGCCTCGTGTTGCGACCAATTCGAGTTGCAACCAGAGTCACGGAATGGATTAAATTTGTAACTCGAGGTTCCACTGTATTTGGACGAGACCTTCAGGGAATATTGGAGGCTAGACTAAGAAATCAGAAAAATACCCTGAAAGAAGGCAGTATCAAGCCATTTTTGCATGCTGTCAGGAAAATTACATGAATATATGCCTAGAGTCACCAGGACCTGAGACTTTCCTTTCTCCTGGCCAGTAGCTCTGCGTCCCTTTCCAGAGATCTTTTGTCCATACTCCCACTACTGACACTGCTTTCAGATCCCACTGCTTTCCAGTGAAGCAAAACATTTGAGCGGTAAGTGAGCAATGTTAGGGCCCAATGCCATTGCGTATTCCTCTATGGTAGAGATGAAAGTGCCTTTTCATATGTTGCAGTTTAACATCTAAAAAATTCAAATGGATTATACCCCTGGATTGTACAAATACAACTTCCTGTTATGTGTAGGGAGGAGATTTTCTTTTGTGAAGGACTATTGTAGAAACAAACAACAGAAAAATACTTCTCTAATAACTTCTGATCATCCTCTCTGGCATGGGCTCTTGTTGGAAGCTAAAATCAGAGGCAGCTTTATGCATAAAACCTAAATTCACAAAAGTTTCCTCGGCTGAAAGCAACAATGATCAGACATTAGCCTTTAAAATACCTTGTTGTAAATATCTTTATTAGTCTCTCACTGTAAAATGTGTTACATATGTGCTTAATAAAAATGAAGAGTTTTCCCCAGAGATTCCTTTATTTACAATTTGAAATTCATTTCAAGAGAATTTATGAGAAAACTATTTTGGAATGTTTGGTTACATAAATTAGTGATGACAGGTTTGTGTGTGTAAAACATTTATGAGGGCTAAAAGATCGTGATAGAAAAACTTTTAAGCATAATTTTAAAAACGATATTTTGCTGTTTACTGGAAACCATGTGTTCACATGTCACTTTTTATTAAAATATTTCTATTTCAGACCATGATATATTGCTGCCTTGGCAGCAAGTTACTTAATAAAGGGGTTCATAAGTTTGTTGTCTGTGAAGGATGGTTCCTTGTTTGTAAAGTAACCCCCAGTTGGCATTTTGGTGAAAAGTTCATATAAAGCAGCAGACAAGGTTTTCTGTTTATAAAGAATTAAAAAAAAATAGTCTGTTTCATCTATTATGTCTTCATAGTTTATCGGCTTTGACTTAATATACACCAGAAAGATTTATTTACAGCCTAGTGTAACATCCAGTGAGATAAAATATTGTAGTTTTTTAGGTCAAGTATAATGGATGAAATCAAACATTGCACGAGTAGATTTCTATCCACGTGACATGCTTTCTGCTCTGGAGGTTAAGCGATTACAGGAGGAATGGGAATTGTCTCTTGCTCTAGCTCAGCTGACAGATTTTTATTAAATGTACTGCTCAGTGCCTGTTGACACAGTATTTTTTGCCTAGACCGTGCCCTGGGTAAGACTGAGTGCGGATTTTAGAACTGTTGCTCCTTTCCCCATTTCAACATTATCCTTTTTTTTTTTTTTTTTTGGTTTTTTTTTTTTGGCTTTCAACTTGTTCAACATTTACAAACTGAAGCACAGTGGTGTTAATTGTTCCATTTCCTAGATGAAGCCCAAAAATTGTGGTATTAATTGGTAACCCATCCTTGATGCAGACTAAACCTTCTTCTGCAACAAGTAGTTTTCAAGAGGGCAGATCCTGTACTGGGTGATTGAATCTGGGGAGAGAAATGAACAACCTGATTTAGAATGAGCACTGAATGGGCACCAGATTCATATCTTTTACAAGATAGCAGTTGCCCTAATATTTAAAGTCTTACTATTTAGTAACTTCATATTTGAAGCATTGATTCCTGCATTATTCAATTGAGACTAGGTTAGATATTCTCAAATATTAATAAAGTAACATGTCCTTGTAAGTCTTCCTTCTGTTAAACCTGCTGGTTGAGCTTTCAACAGAACAGAAGACAAACAGTGTATTCCTTGATTTTAAATGTCTAGATGTTTGAATTTTAGCAGTAAGCTGAGAAAAAAAAATATCATGCTCCAAACTGTTAACACAGGAATGTCACCAGTCCAAGGCAGTTTTATCTGGAGATCTTTTCATTCAAAAGGTGCTGTAATTTATCCTCTTAAGGCTAAGAGACAACACATTTGCCTCACTGAGGTACTTCATGTCAGCTCGCAGCCTTCTCTTAACCTTCTCAAGCACTTGTAAAAGCCAGAAGAAGTGACACTTCCGTCCCTCCCAAATCTGCACTGTCTTAGTAACTAATACTGCTTACACATGGTTTTGCCTTTCATTTGTAGATAAGGCAAAATTTGGCATGGACACTCTTCTTATGCACTGCCTGCTTGCCCCTGCTTAAAACCAAAATATCAGACTAGGAGATCCATTGGTAAACTGAATGTAAGGTTCTGTTCATCTTGTATGCTACAGAGTTTGGCTTACATGTCAAAGGAGACCCCACATTCAAATAACTGCAAATACCTCAGTTTGAACATTCACTTTTATACATTGAGAGGAAAAGGTGCAAAAATTCATCATCTACTCATGAATTCCATGTACACAAAAGAGTAAGTGGGCAGAATAAGTAGCAGACAACCATAAGGAAAGACTGCCAGTTCAGACACAATAATCAGGTCATATAGGCAGTTTCCTGTAAAAGCAACTCAGGGCTTTTCTTTGCCATGTGTATAAACAGTGCAGAACTTCAGTGGGGCATTTCACTTTGACCAGCCTTATTGAAATGCCCCTCTGGAGCAACACTTTCTTTTCAAGAGCCATTTTAGAGCAGCCATACCACCTGGATGCTAAAAGGGACTTCTGTGTACATGCAGAATGTCAGACTTTCCTCTAAGACAGTATCTCCCTTGTGACTTGGACAAACATGACTGGAAACTAAACCTTCACTGTAACTCAGGAATGGAAATCATTACAATCACTTGATAGTCAGTGACAGTGGAAGAGATGGCACAGAATTTATATCTACTTCTGCTTCAAATCCTTTGTGCTCTCTTTCTTTCCTTTTCCCTGCGTAGAGAAGTTTTTGGCATCTGTTTCTCATGCTTCCTTGAACCATAAGTTGAAGGCAGTGAAATGTTTACATTCTCTACATTCCTGCTCCGAGAATCTCCCTGGGAATCTCCTGCCACTAATGGAACCTTGACACAGAAGCCCTTTTCTATCTCAGTGAAGTGGCCACTCAAATCAGCTTTGCTTCACTTGGACACTTTGCTTCAAGGCACTGAGATGGACCAATTTTCAAAGTCAAGGCAATGCCTTAAATTTGAAGCATGGGAACACCTTGAACTGGAACAGTCTTACTTGTATAGACCTAAAATGCATGGATGACATGGGAAATTCTAGAGTAAGTTGAAGTTGTACAAGGATACAGACTGTAATTTGTCTGATTATAGAAACAGGGAAAAATCCTATAATAAAAAAACTTTGTTACCTATTTCTACATACAACCTAATTGTACATACATATAATAAATGGCCACAGATATATACTCAGTACTGTACATCCAATGCTTCCGTTCTTTTTTTGCTAAGACATCCTTGATATCTGCTGTAGGGATACATGGGAAAGATGTAAGGGAGAGGAGGGTATGTGAAGTTCAGGTAAAAAACAAAGGGGAAGCTACACTGCACAATGACAGATTTGCTTGTGCAGCATTGGAAGCCATGACACTGGAGAAACTAGGCTGAGAACAGCAACCAGTTCTGGATGCTACTGTTAATGTTGGTTAATGCTATAGAGGGCCATACATTGATTTGTAGAAAAACAATCCTGAGGTTAAGATCATTCCCACCCCTAGACAAAAAACATCTCCCCCCGCCAAAGAAACCTCCCTAGTTGTTTGCTGCTAATCTTAGGAAATCTAAGATGACCTATTTTAAAGGTCAATTATTTTGGGGAAAAAAACAGTCTTCCTTTCAGATGTAAGGGTAAACACAGAGTTATATTTTAGATAGTAAAAATTTGATCTCTTACCTGTAATCCATTTTTCTGATAAACATTGCATATCCACATACTTTCCAACTTTGCACGGTCCAATACAAATTTTAGCTTGACGGAGGGTTTTACATACTTTTCCTCCACAAAGCTGCACCAACTCACAGAGCTTCTGATAGGGTGGCTGACTTGTATGAGATACAAACATTATAGGTTGATTGGCAAAGAGTTTCTGATAATCTTTTTCTTTTGGAAGGTCACGCTGAAATCGGGAAATCTGTTTGAAAAAAGGAAAATAAATAAGTAAATAAATAAATAAATACAATGTCACTCCAGTATGAAGTATTTGCCTTTGGGAACTTATTGCTGCACTTGGTAATTTGCTTACATACAAGTTTTTTTATTGCAATGCCTGCTGTTTAAAATTTAGGGTACAATTATAATAAAGTCTCAGATTTTACATAAAAAGAGATCAATAATATAGACTCTGTAATGTTAAAAAATAATATTGGAATGTTCTTGATATTCAGAAAATATTACTTCTATATTTGTTTTATTATTCATCTATTATATCAGCAATACAGCCAGATATGAATTCCACTGTAATAAGAGTTTAAATTAAGCCTATTCTTTTCATTTTTTTATTTCTTTGATTTTTGTATGAACATAAACATATGGAAAGAAGAAATCCAGTTTCATGATGAAACATTGTAGAAACAACATCCTTAATCCGAATCAAACTGTTACTGCATCAAACCATTTTCTGGGGTTGAAAAATATATTGAGTCATAAACTAGCCAAACAGGCTGGGTTCACACAGAGTTCTAAACCACAAATAAATAACCAAGATTCAAAACAACCATGTTTCACAGTCTTGAAATAGTCAGCTGAGCATGTTTAGGCAACAAGTACATCCATTTCCTGGATTCTTTTATCTATGAAATAATTTGTACTCAGTTACTGCCATTTTTTTGCTATTTGGGGAATTTTTAACCTGAAAGCAGGATTATGTATTTCTTAACGAATAATAATGAAATGCAGTTGAATTCCAGAAGGGCAGCCATCTCACAGGGCAAACCTCTGTTATTCAGAAGAAAGCCCCTTCTATTCAGTATGGTTTATATTCAGGTAAATGAGCAATCTGACAGATATAGATATGCAAGAAATAAAATAAAAACGTGATGATTGCTAAGATCAAGCAATTTATTGTGATAGGAATGTTTGTAGTTGCAAGCTTAAGCGATCAGATGTGTGGACTTAATACACCACATGAAGGAGGCTTTTATTACAAACAGCATATTTGGTGCCCATGATAATTAAGCGGAAGTGAGACTGTATAAGAATACGACGGCAAGGTCAATGATATCTCCCGAAAAGAAATGGCAGCTTGCCCAGAAAGGATGGCATAATGCCATTATAAAGGCATTAGTTCTGCACTGATTACTTTCCCTCATTACTCTCACTTATCCCTCATTAACATCAAGAGAGTGGTCTGCATTAAATCCACTAATTATTATACAGGTAGTCCCCAGTTTTAGAATGAGTTCCGTTCCCAAGGTCTGTCCTTAAGTTGAATTTGTATGTAAGCTGGAACAGCATTATTGTATAACACTGTATAACTAATATTGTGTAATGAGCTCAAACCATTGTGTATTTAACTTGAATCTTTGTGCATTTAACTCGAATTTTGCTACAATAGGCTCCGTTCTTAACTATGAGTTGTCCACAAACCAGGTGTTCTTAACCCAGGGACTATATGTAATGGGCTGGACAGAGCCATAGGCAAATTTAAGAGTAGACCAATTAAAATCAAGGGGACTAATAAATGCATTGATTACAAGTGGGTTAATCTGAGGAGATGAGTAAGGCTGGTTTCCACCCAATTATAAAAATTCCCTCCATACAGGCAACTATGTGTTAAATGCAAATGTTTGCCATGGTATACCTATTTTCCCTAAGAATTTTGTTTTTTTCAGACAGAAATGGGAATTATGTGAGTCCTACTCCAATCCTAGCTCTCTAAAAGGGTACAAGTTTATAGCATCATTGAATAGATCATGGCCCACAAATTTGTCTCTTCATATTTCAAGGAAAAAAAATAATGGCATCAATGTTTAAAGGATCTGGTGACCTGGACAAAGCAGCCTTCCAGAAGCTAAGCAGGTCTGGCCTCTAGTTGGGTGACATATGGGAGCCCTATGTGACATGGCCTTATGCTCTTGGATGGAAGAAAGGCAGGATATGAACCAGCAAAATGCCATCAGAATTCACAAAACAGGAAGTGAGTCAATTTTTTTCTGGAATCACAAGACTTTTGTTTACATTCAGATTTTGTTCAACAAAGTAAAATAAGTTGGAATTTTATATACACTGAATTATATAATAAGAAATGCTCTATTTCTTTTCCAGAAAAGCAATTCATAAATCTTTATAGCTTTATCTTGGCATTCTATCTATCTAGCATATTGGTTAAAGTATCCAATAGGGGAGAAACCCGGGTTCACATCAGCATTTTTCTGTTGAACTCAGTGGGTGATTTTGACTTAGTCACTGCCTCTTAACCTAACACAGGGTTGTAGTGTTGGTTGCCGTGCACACTAATTTGTGATCTTGGTGAAAGGACAAGATACCAATGCAATAATAAAAAATGAATAAATCTGAAAAATAAAACGTGAAGCAGACTTACATATCTATGAGGACCATTTAAATTAGTGATTCAGTTCTGCTCATACTGATTTTGCTAATTAGGACACAATGCATTTCCACCAGGGCCCATATAAACAAACGTCATGGTTCAGGCTGGAAACAGAATGAGGACATTCATGCAAAATACAAGAGGAAGAAATGAACATGCCATCCACTTCAGATCATGCAGGTATAGTGAACAGATTGCCAGTTTAAATTTGCAGCTGTTGTTTGGACCTAAGAGTTTCCTTTCCCCCAAGACAGCTGTGGAGGGGGGAGGGGAAAAGAAAAGTCTCTGAGTCTGGAAAAAAAGGAGGACCTTGGGAAAGAGTGGAAGGTCCCTGTAGAAGACTTGCAAGTCAAAAGAGAAACTTCTGTGGCCAATTAAGCCCACAGGCTGCTTCTTCCCCATGCTGAGTCAAATATTCTAGTTAACATATACTTTTTTTTTAATGTTAGAAGTACTTCATGATAAATATGAGACAAGCTTTTCCTACAACCCAAAATAGTGTATTTATTTTGTTTTATTTTTACTAATCTCTCATACCACCCAGTTAGGTTAACAAGTAAAATCCAAAAGAAGAATAAGAATCTCCATGGGACATGGAATCTAGCCTTACTTTATCTAAAATTAATAATCAAACCCAATTTTAAAAGACCTTGTGCTAAAATTGGCCTGTCGTCGTTGCTAGCCTGGAGCTCTAAAGTTTCCAATCTGAAGCTGATTAGAACTGACAAACTCTGTTTATGTTCAAATCCAGCAGAGTCTGCGTTTGTTAGAAAGAGCATGCATTAAAGATTTAACTTGATTGTAATCCTGCTGTTTTACACATTTTTGGGAGACATGATTTAAAGAATTTATTGTACTCCTGTTTGTTCAACATTGTTCTTTGAAGCTTATAAATGTTGAGGCCATAATGAAAAGCCATTCTATTTTCACTGTGGTCCCTATTATTTTAGAAATGAGCCTAAGTTGACAAGAAAACTGTATGAAAAAAAAAAAAGGCTGCTATTTTACAGTTCTATAATAATCTAAAATCAGCCATGTCAGAACTGAAAAGTTCAAACCATGGAGGCTGTGTGTTATACTTTCAAATGCTTTATTTTATCTTATTATAACAAATAAAATTTGGATTATGAATAGAAAATCTGAGGATTTGGCTGCCAATATCTCCTTGCAAAAGGACTTCTCTTTAAAATGCTCTCTAAAGTCAAGGATTGATTTTGTATCTTTTTTCAGTTCGTACAGAAATAGTTCAAGTATAAGCATATACTATGTGCTTGATTTTAGAAAATGCCGTATTGTAAAATAAAATGGGATGAGATCTGAATAATATATTTGAATTTAGGATTGGCTATTTCATTATTGGCAATTGCTCCATTGCAGATACATGTAGAGAACTCTGCATCTTAATGAAAATCTGCAGTTGGAAAAGGAAGCTACCTTCTGTCCTTTCCATGTCCTTCATTGTGTTTACTTTGCACCTCCAAAGGGAGTTCCTAAAATCCACAGAAGTGTTTTTTTGGAGGCCCTGCCCCCACCTATTTAAGCGTACTTAAAAATAAGGCTTGCAAATATCCATAGAAATTCCTTGATAAGTAATGAAAGGTGGCATCTTCATAATTTTATTAATATGTCCTTTTCCACAAAATTTCATATAATTTGGCATTCTTTCACACATACATACTGGCTTTAGGAGGTTCACTCCCATTCTGCTTGAACAAGAAACCAGAGCTCTCAAAGCTGATTGTACTGATAATATGTGATCCAAAACAGAGGATCGATACTTTCTTGCATTTATAGTTGCCCCCATATTCTGCACAGTAGCTGGAGTAGTTGGATATCCCCACCTCCACCACTGTATCTTTAAGACAGCAAGGTACCTGGCAGGTTTTTGGATTCTTTCTTTCCAGCTCTATTTATGCTTGCTTGTTTGCTACCCCCCTTTCCTGTTTTCACTTCCCCTCTCTTTTATGAAAGAGACAAAGAATGTGGAGGCACATCCAACGTTTTATAACTAACATCCTAACCCACATCACCTTGTGGCTTGCCCTGTCCCCTTTGAAGACGTTTTGTGTGGGACATATTTTAAATGTGTCCATGGGTACCAAAGAGTTTGGATTAAGCCTTACTGTACACTTTGGGATTTACATCTGAGTAGAGAGATACAGGATTTGATAGAAGATTATGTGCCATCAAGTCATTTTTGATTTCTAGTGACCACATAGCTAGATTTTCTCCATGACAATCTATCCCTAACCTGGTTATTTAGATCTTAGTGTATTTCTCTCCTCTCTCTTTCTCAACTGATTATTTGTTTATGTATTTATTTGTTAGAGTTTTATTCTACCTTTTACTCAGGAGTGCAAGGTGACATACAAAGCATCCCCTTTCTTCCAGTTTTCCTCCATCTTGTTAGGTTAGTTGGGCTGGGGCAGAGAGGCTGGCCAAAGTCACCCAGTGAACTTCTATGGCTGAGGATGGACTTGACCCTGGCTCTTCCCACTCCTAGTCCAATACTTCAACTATATTACACTGACCCTATATGCCACCATTGCCTCTAACAAATTTTAATACCATGTGATTCCCAG